CGATGACTTCACAAATTTTTAGTTTAGCCAGAAAGAAAGCTGTAGTAAAGTTGTGGCCTGCAAAAATGGAATAGAGGAGAAATGGGTTGCTGAAAAAACTAGCAGGAAAAGGCCAACTATTTCAGAAGAGGACAGTAGGAAAAATGGCCTGAGAATTATCACAAGAGCCAGGAGAACCGTACCCTTTGTGGCCTCAAAATTGCAAAGGTGAAGGTCTTTTTTCGAGGAGAGTCCCAGAGCACCATGTTCCAGAATGTTGGTTGTCTGAGGAAGTTGTTCCATAGGATTTAGTTCACAGGGAGCTGGCCCTGACACCCAAGGGAAGGAAGCCTGGCTTCTGCTCTAGCTGGCGGCAGATTCTGGTGTTATCGAAGTGGTGGTTTTCAGTGCACACAGCATGCAGCAGTTGTGGATCAGGAAAGCTTCCATCCAGGTGTCAGAAGAACGGGGAGGCCAGGCAGTGTACCCTAAGAGGACTGTGTGAAGTTGTGAGTGTGAAGCTGACATTGTGTCGAGAACTTGAGAAGGTTTGAGGAGCCTGGCACATGGATTGCCTAAGAAAAGCCACAAGGAATTAGCAGAACTGGCCCAAGAGAGAAGCCTTGCAACCTCACACAGTGGCCAGGGCAGAGCCACTCAAGTCCGTGGGGGTTCACATCTTTCTACAAATTGCCCTGGATGCTAGACAGGGAACTGTTTTTTTATGTTTGTCCTGGTGGATTTTTGACTTGGTTTTGTCTCATACTTTTGTATCCTCCTATTTTACATTTTGGAATGGAAATATCCATCCTGTGCCATTGAATGTTGGAAGTGTTTAACTTTCTTTGTATTTGTACAGGAAGCCAAGGCTGTTTGCCTTAAATCTCAGAAGAGATTTTTGTTTTTTATTTTTTTTATTTAAAGAAAGAAAGAAAAGAAACAAAATAGAAAAAAAGAAAAAAGGTAGAATACAGAATTCAAAAAAATTAACACCATGAAATCACTAGTTGATATATTACATATTGTCATCTTAAAATAGTTGTTAAAGTTACAAAATTAAAGCATAAAAAGTGGCTAGACCCTCAAACATTGATAGTGCAAACCATTCTGTTTAGTGATCTAACAGAAATTTAGTAATATGGTCATCTATCTTACACACTATACATACCATTATGTTCTTTAGAGCTCTTTCCTTCCCTTAGTCACTTTTAGGGTATCTGTTATTCTTTTTGGATCTTATTACTGTCAGTTTTTATTATTGTTTTAAAACACTAGAGAGACAATGTGATATTTACTAATGTGAGTCTTATTTCACTAATGAAGATATTCTCAGTTTGCCTCCATTTATCTATAATGGCTTCAAGATCATCTCTTTATAGCTGAATAATATTCCATTATATAAAAATACCACATCTTTTTCATCCATTCTGCTGTTGATGGGCATTTTGATTGTTTCCAAGATTTAGCTATCACAAATTGTGCTGCTACGAACATGGGTGCACATATATCACTGTGACATGACATTTTCAGTTTTTCTGGGAAAATGCCCAGGAAGGGAAGAGCTGGATTGAATGGAACTTCCAATCCTAGTTTTTTGAGGAATCTCCGTACTGATATCCACAGTGGTTGCACCAATCTGCATTCCCACCGCCAGTGAAGTGTTCCTTTTTCCCTGCATCCTCGCCAACATTTGTTATCTGTTGATTTCTTTCTGGATTGAGATGAAATCTGAAAGCCGTTTTAATTTGCATTTCTTGAATGACCAGTGGTGGTGAACATTTTCCTCGTGTATTCATTTACCATTCATGTATCTTCATCAGTGGAGACTTTGAAGTTGGACTGTCCAGGAGTGCTGAAACTGTTAGGAGTTTGGCAGCTCTTAGAGCCAGATGGAATGTCTTTTGCATAAGGGATGCGCATGACTTTGAAGGCACCTGGGCAGAATGTAGTGGTTCTAGCTGGGTGTTTTCCCGTCCCACTCCGTCCTGGGTGGGCTTTCAGAGCTGGGTGGTGCTGGGTGTGTGGGACGAGGGATTACGGAGTGGGAGGGGGGAAAGCGGCCGTGCTGTTTGTACTGCTTTGCTGCTTTCAGCCTGCCATGGACCTTTTCTCCTGCCTGCCCTGCCTCCTTGCCGTGCCACCTCGCCATAGTGCAGTGAGCTCCAGACCGTAACCTCTACCAACTGTGAGCCTAAACTGTGAGCCCTTTAACGTTGGGTGTGGGGTATTTTGGCTCAGAAATGGAATTTTAGCTGAGACAGTGGTACACACTTAGAGAAGCTTATTTTCTTTCTTAGTTTTGTTGTCTTCATTCACCAGCCTCTGGAAACTGGCTTTAATTTACTTTCATTTTGTACTTTTGTTTGCTGCCTGCTTTTCCCCCTTATTCTTTCACTCTGGCAGGGAACCCTTAACTTTTTTAGTAACAGCAGCTGGTGTCACATCACATCATACCTGCCTGGCCACGTGTGAAAGTGTGTTAGTGTGTGATCACCTGGTGCCTGAGGTGAAACACAGGCTGGGCCTCCTGGAGCAGTCCTGCCTTCTCGAGGTTAACCCCTGGCTCCATCTCCCTTTACAGCCCTGCGTGTTCCTGGAGCTTGTGTGCTGTCTGCTGTGCCTAGGTTCGCGCTTGGGGGCAGAGCCCCAGTCTGGGTTCTGGATATGGCCCCAGCAAGCCTGAGTGTATGGAAGGGCAGCGCATGAACTCCTGCACTGTAACTGCTCCAGCACTGAGCCCGTGTCCCCGCCTCCTCGGCTCCTTGGCCTGCTTCTTGTTACTCTGTGTGCACTGTTGATACCATGCCAGGAACCTCCCCGGTGATGATTGTGACACCGTTTCTTGCTCCGGGAGTGAGTGGGATTTCCTCTGCCCAAATTAAAAAAAAACACCAAATTCAAACCATTTAAAGGTAGATAGAAAGCATATAAACATTTAAAAGAGCTCTCCCAACTGTATAGAGCTGTTTACAGTGAGGTAGCATCGTATGCCAAGTGGAAATATTTATGGGACCTCACTGAATTCCTGAGTATAGCAGAGTGTGTTTTGTTTTGTGTCGAGTCTGCTCGGTCCTTTTTTATGTTTATTTAGAAGGCTCTGGCCCCTCATTTCCTCACTCACCCACCCACCCACGTGTCACTGTCACAGTTCTGTCATGTCTTCACAGCCCTCCTACTGTTTTGAACTAACTCTGGTTTTACACTCAGTGCGCCTATCAGCTCTTGTCTTGAGCACTGTTGTCTGTGGGATAGTGGCTGTGACCTGTACGTTATAGTCCACACAGGAGTTACAAGGAATCCTGCTAAAGGGGGTGAACTAAAAGCAGTTCTCAATTTTAACATTTAGTTTTTTTCTTTTTCAATCTAATTTTTTCAACATGACAATCACTATACTTTTATTATCTGTTAGGTCTGTCTTTCTGTCTGTCTCTCTGCCTCTCTCTCTCTCTCTCTCTCTTCTTTTTCTTTTTTTCTACTGGAGGTTGAACCAAGGTCTTCATACTTACATCCACAGCCTTTTAAAATGTTTTTAAATGTTCAGAGAGGATCTCGCTAAGTTGTACAGGCTGGTCTCAAACTTGGGTTCTTTCTAAAGCCTCAGCCTTCCAGAGTGCTGGGATAGCAAGTGTGTGTTAGGTTTTCTGTAAGTGAACTTTACTAGAAGTACCTTTGATTTATCCCATTAACAGGATAAAAATTTGTTAAATTATTCTTAACATAAGACTGCTTTTAAAAATTCTCAAAATTTAATAAGATATAAAATACATATATCCTCCATGACTCCTCTAATGAATGCCAAAAAAACTTCACCGCTCTCACGAGAGCTTCTCTAGGTTGTGTGTTTAGAGAAAATGAGCTCTTGTGTGTTTGACGATTGAACATCCGCACTTCACCTACACGGATTCTTTTTAGGAATGGGAAGTTTGTTTTTATTTACTGCACTGCAGTACGACAGTTTTTTGCCTAAGTAAAACAGTCTTTTAATTAAGTGATGTTTTTAAAGAATGATTTGGAAATATGTTGATTTCTAACACTTGCCATCACAGAGATTGCTAAACACGGGAGACTTGACCCTTCTTGCGAAGCAGTTCCAGACTGGAGAAACCCTCCCTCCAGTGGCTTGGATCAGCCCCCGTCCCGCAGTATTTTTAGAAACAGCCCTAACTCTGTAGCTATGTGAGTGAGGAGGACGGAGTCACAGGGCGACTGGGCTGGCTTCCCGCAGGGCGGGCTGGAGCGGGCAGGAAGGAAGGCCTGCTCAGCACTGCCCGGCGTGCGGCCGGCTGTGTCCGGTGGGCAGCCGGCACACAATGTCGCCCTTGTGCGGAGCGGCTCCCCCCGTGAGTGCTCAGACATGTGAGGAGAAGGAGTTGGGGTGAGCGAAGGAGCGGGCGTCTCAGAGATTCCGCTCTGCTTCGGAGCCTTTGGATTTCGGGAGTGCACTGTTGTTTTTGAAGAGCACTGGCTTTGTTTCCAGCGCCTGTTAGACTTTCTGAGCCAGCTTGCCACAGGCAGACGGACGGTCTTACTTCTTAAAAACGTGTTTGCAATGGAGTTATCTGTGTTTACTGGAATGGGAGGAAACTAACTGTGGTACTCATGTCAGGGATGGATTCTCTCCTGACTTAAAGTCTGCTTTTTCCTGCTGTTTTCATTCTGAAATCATAATCAACGTATGATGATGATGAATACCACCTAAGGCTTCTGGCTGGTGTTTTAAATGTGCCATGTTGATTTCAGGGGTGATGTACTTGTTCTAAAACCCTGCAGCTGTTAGTGGTTCACTTAATGACTGTGGTATGAGAGTATCATAGTTTACTTTGGTTTAACTGATACAGAGTTCCATTTTTTCTAAAAGAACTCCTGTTTTTCTCCTGAAAATTTACTAGCTGGCACAAGTGGCTGCTGTTTTTAGGATATTAGTTTTATGTTTTCAGCAGCATTTAGTTACCATGTCACAAATAGCTAACTTTCACAGCAGGTATACGTGTTTATAGACTTTTGCTTTTGAATCTGTCCAGTGGACTGTGACAATATGAACCGCTTCGACCGGCCAGACAGAAATGTGCGGCAGTCGCAGGAAGGGTTTTGGAAAAGGCCTCCGCAGAGGTGGAGCGGACAGGAACGTTACCACCTCAGCCATGCCGACCACTACCATCACCACGGGAAGAGTGACCTGAGCAGGTGAGTGCCGCTTCTCACCCACTCATTAGTTTGAGTAGTGATTCTCCCCCAAACCCTCTGCCTCCAGAATCCAGGTGACATGTGGCACAGTTAGAATAATGCCTAATTCTTCCTGGCTCACATGTTTTTTCATTAGCTTTATCATTAATATAAATAGTATTGCTGTGTGTTCAGTTTTGGTAGAAGATTTTTAAGTTCTCATTTGGGAATGATTAAATGTCAACTTGGTTAAAGTTTAACATTTTTTTAAAATGATAAATAATGCAAAATTAGTGCCAAATGATTGTCTTCTTATATGATCTGAATCTTAAAATTCCACAAGTACTATTAGAAACATAAGATGATACCATGTAGCCCTGGAAGTCGTTTCTGTTTTGAATCGTGGGATAACCTTTAATTTGATCAGAATTTAAGTGTAAAGGATCTATCTCTATGGTTATTAAGACTGTGTATAGTGCAGGTTAGCCTTGCAAATGCAGGTAATTTATTTAACCTCCCACTTACTTCAGCTTACCATTGGTAAAAGACCCTTAATAACACCGTCTCTCGGGATTTGTGGCTGTGGGGTAGGAATGCTGGGTGTCTGGTTCATAGTAGGCACTCAGTGGCCAGCAGCATTATTTTTATCTTTTTCTTTTCTCATCTCCTTCCACAAGAGATTTGAAGCCATTCTGGAGCATATTCATAACAAATATTAAAATTAGGATAGAGAAGAGGGGCTTGGGATTTAGCTCAGCGGCATAAGCACCTGCCTTGCAAGCAGGCGGTCATGAGTTCGTTCCCCGGTACCGGTAAAAAACAAAACAAAACAAAACAAAACAAAAAAAACAACAAAAAAAGATGTAATGAGAAGAAAATGTACGGGTGTGTATATTCCCTTTAGTAGGAAACAGAATTACCTGTAAGATTCTTTGTGACAGAAGCAAAGAAAAAACTTGGTCCTTTACCAGATACTCAGTGTGCATGTGTTTCTTCTTAATGGATTTTCTTTTATGAGGAAAACCCCTGAGGGGTTTCCTGCATGAATTCTTAGAAAGAAAATACCTTGACATAGGATGGACAGGTCCCAGGTTCTCAGAGTAGAAATAATGATAATTTTCTTAACTGTTTCTTAGTTGTACGTGTGACAAAAACTCTAGTCTGGTTGAGAAAAGGCAATTCAGTGTGTCACAAAACAATAATTTTTAACTAAAAATTCTTCGAGTGATCAGGATGATCACATCTAGTGAAAGGATGTAATTGAAAAGATCTGGAAGAAGGCACCAAGTGTGTTAGCATTTCAGACACTATATCTAGGGTTTAGCTGAGAAGTAGACCCTGGAAAGAAGGAAAGAAGCGGGCATCAGACAGAGGGAATTATCAGGTGAGAACGTGGTGTAAGGACAGTCTTCATTGCTAGCAAGGTAAGTAATAAGAATAGTAAGCTGGGAAGTACGGGAGGCCAGGTCATCAGACTTAGCAGGCTAACTCAAATATGGACCACTGATTATGCTTAAAGTGTGTCCGTCTGTTTAAAAATACTTGTTGAGAATCTGTATGTTGGACGCTGTTCTGATTCCACGAGCTGGGTGAATTTGAAGGTGTGCGGGAGAGCTGCAGGTTGGCAGTAGCTTCTTGGAACACCGCGTTGGGGACAGTAGAAATAATTCTGCAGTGGCAGAGCTCAGTAGGTGTCTTTCATTTACTGGTCCGAATGAGATTCCCGTGCTCGCCCCAGCCCCGTGTGAGTAGCATGTTCTTCCTGCTGCTTGGATGCTCAGAGTCCGCAGGAGAGAGGGGCGCGAGGCAGCTGCAGCGCAGTTGGTGTGAGGTGGAGCGCTGTGTGCAGACGCCAGGCATGCGCAGCAGCTGGCCTTGGTCTGGGAGTCACAGGATGCGGCCTAGAGAGATGGCTCAGGGTCTGATGGAGAGAGTGGAGAGGGGCGGGTTCCACCTGGGGAAAATGGCGTGTGGAGATGCGTGCATGGCCCAGTGTGGCTTTTGCAGAGAACTACCAAGTTTACAGACGGGGATGGCCCAGGCATTTGGAGGAATGAGTCGTCCTGATCGCTAACTGTAGGTGGCAAAATTGTCATATCTGCAGTGGGAAGTGAAGGATGGCAAATTTCAGCTTGTAGTGAGACTTAGAGTGTCATAAATGGGATGAATTAGCTGGAGGTAGGTAGCCTCTCTGTCCTTGGGGATGAACAAGCAGGGTTTAGGTCACCTGTCAGAGAAGCTGAGTGACTTTTTTTTAAAACATATTTTGTGAATGTCAGTAGGTATGGAAACAGAAGTAAGTTCTCTGGTCAAGTGAGTACAAGAATCAGGTAAAATTAATTTCTTTTGAAGATGTGTGAATATACTGATTTCACAAAATGTTAGGTGATAGATATACTCTATAAGCATTCTGGAAACATGATTACAAATCCCTCTGCAGAGTTTTTTTTTTAAGGAATTTACGATGTGTTGAATTGCCCAGGTCAGTCACACTGGTGTTCTGAGGAGACAGAAGTCTGTAAAGTTCTTGGCATCGCTAATCCAGTTAACTTCACACAGGACGTTCAGACAAGCGGACGGGGTGGACGGGGTGGACGGGGCGTGCTGGCCGCTGAGGGTGAGGAGGGTGTGGCCCGTTCACCTACCCGCCCAGGCCGCCTGGTGTGGGGCAGTGCCAGGTCCTCAGTCCGTCCCAGGGATGATGGGCGCCGGCCCGCCGTGCCCAGCGTGCCTCAGTGCTCTTGCACTGGGCCTCACTGTGAGTGAGAGCGTGGAGGGATTAACCGCAGGCTGCCTTTCCACTCTGGCTTGAGTACTGAGCCCTTTCCAGCTCCCGTCATTGCCCTGGTTAGTGACAGGATCCTGGTCCCTCCATGCTGTGGTGTTAGGAAGCCTGGTGGTGGGGATGGCTGCTCTTTGATCTCCTATTTTGATCATAATACCGCGGTCTGTAAGCTGACCGGCTTCTCCCACAGCTCCCCTCTCCCTGACTTCCACTGACCGGCTGAATCCTCTGGCTTTTGAACTTCCCAGCCTTGACCTCTTGGCCTGCATTCTTCTCTGTAGCTGATGTCTTCTTCCTAAGCTGCCTTCGTCCCCAGTGTCTTTACATGAAGGGGTTTCCCACTCCCCTTAGCTCTCCACCCTTTAGAGGCAGTCTGTGTCTTCGTCTTCACCTCTAGGTAAAGGCTGTTTCTCCTTGTCCTTTTGAGGCGGGGTCTTGCTATGCAGTTCACCTGGCCTTGAGCTCACTTTGTAGCCCAGGCTGGTCTCAAAATGCAGCAATCCTCCTGCCTCAGCCTCCTGAGTGTGGGATTATGGGTGTGTGCCACCATGCTCAGCTTTAAAATATTCTTAAATCTCTTTGAGTGATGTAAAATTTCTCAATTTATTTGAGGTTTAAGGCTTTTGACTATGTGAACTCCTTACTTTACTTACTTTAGAGATTTAATAATATTTGCTAAAATGTTGAAATTTACCAAAAACTATGTGCCTACATTTTCAGTCTGTTTGAAATTTGATATGTTGTCACTTTAACAAATTCAGTGAATTGATTTTTATCCATAATATGTCAAAATAGTCATTATACTGGAGAGAACGAATACCTTCTTAGTGTTGTTTAAATATTGAGGTTTCTTGTTTATGTATGTGGCCTAATAGGTACTGCATAGTTTGCAAACTAACTAGAATTGTGTCTAATGTGGATCCGGTAATTCTTTGAATTGCTGTCGCTGTGCTTTCTGTTCAGAGCGTTCTGTTTTGTACTCCGTGGAACACAGCAGCCCTGCTTTCTTGTTGCTGCTCCTCCTTCCCTCCCTCCCTTCCCTCTACTCATCTCGTTTCAGTTTTTCTTCTTTAAGCAGACACTGTCCCACTGAGCTGTATCTGCCGTGCACCTCTTTAAAATTTCATTTCAAGGCAGCTCTCACTGAGCGTCTGGGTTGGCCTTGAAGTAGTGATCCTGCTGCCTCAGCCTCCCAAGTAGCTAATTTTCCTTCTCTTATTCAGCATGAATGTTCTGGCATCAAACTGAAGGAAGCATACATTTTTTTCAGAGATTTTTTTTTTAAACTTGAACTTTAAGATTAGGAAATAAGTGATGTCAATATGGCTTTTATAGGACCTTGTTTAATTTTATTGGAAAAGATTTACCAATAGTGTAAAAACAAAAGAGCAAAGAAATAGCAGTTCAGTCTTAGCTACCTGCCGAAACGGCAATCTAAGGAGAATCCAAACGCAGAACTCATGGGGCCGCATGGGTATGAGGCTAGAAAGGGGGTGCAGTGTAAGGGTTAGCAGATAGGGAAGATACCCAGAAGGGGCCTGCTGGGAGTTCCGGAGGGGCTGTTTGAGCAGCAGCTGGCATGGATGTGTCCTCCCGTGGGACGGCGTTGGGGGGCGGAGGGGAGTGCCCGTCGGGGCTTCTGTGGTGATGGTGGGTGATGTGTAGAGATCACAGCAGTGATTTGAGTGCCTTCCTTCCTTTCTGAACGTGTGTTTCTTTTCCTCTATTTCCTGCCCTTTCAGAGGCTCTCCTTACAGAGAAGCACCTTTGGGTCATTTTGAAAGCTATGGAGGAACCCCCTTTTTCCAGGCGCAGAAGGTGTTCGTAGACGTCCCAGAAAGCACAGTGATGCTGGACGAGATGACCCTGCGGCACATGGTCCAGGACTGCACCGCCGTGAAGACGCAGCTGCTCAAGCTGAAGCGGCTGCTGCACCAGGTGAGTGCGCGGCACGCAGTTCCAGGCCAGTTGTGTGGAACTGAGAAGAGTGCATGGCCTTTCCTTAATTCTGAAAATATAATAAGGGTTAGATGCCTGTAGAAACTCTGTCTGCAGATCGTATACCATGAACACTTGCCAGAAAAAACAGTGGGTGTTTTGTGTGGTGGGCTCGATGTCCAGCTCGGCAGCTTTGGGCTGTGTGGTACTGGGTAAGTCGGTCGCACCGTTTCTGAGTCCTCAGTTTCCTGTTACTACCTGGGAAGTTGTGCAGGATTGGAAATTGTCATTATAAATTGAGCAGTGAAATACTGAACACACAGTGGCATTCGGTAACCAGCTGCTAGTACTGTAGTTTCAGCTACATGGGGAATAAGAATCAGCACTTTTTGTATGCAGCAGATAATCATGTAATTTAACTTTGAGACCTTCAAGTTTAATCTTCCCCAGTGTTAATTTCTTTTGAAAAAATTAACTCATAGCACTGACATGTGACTTGTTCAAAGTCGTGAGACGAGGTAATGTTAGAGTTTAACTTCTGATTCAAGGACACCTTTATTTAACCATTTACAGGGTATAGCCGGACAAAGAATAAATACTAGCTTAAAATTATGTATGCCTCATGTGTAGTTTTAAATCTCTGCAGTGGGCCCTTGGCTTACAAATGCAATTGGTTTGTGAGGGCTGGCTGCCACTCAAGTTGGCTGTCAGTCAAGAGCATTTTCCCTAAGAAATAATGGAAATACCCATAATGCATTCCGAACCTTCCAAAGCACCCCTTAACTAATCTTTTCATACAAACAGTTCTGTGTGATGCCTGTAATTTACCAGAAACATCAGTAACTTTCCTAGCGTAGTCACTAGAAAGTACTAAAATGTGCCTGGTGTACCAGCAGCAGCAGCTCCCTCCTGTACTCAGCATTGGGGTGACATCCTTGGCTTGCAGGAAAGGACTGGGGTGGGGGGGGGAGGCGGTTGCTGTTGGGAAGGAGAGTGCCTCCATGAGCGCATCAGGAACCTGGTCCCTGTGTCCGTTCTCTCCTTGGCAGAGTCTGGGGCCATCCAGGACCTGCTCTGGCTCAGCAGGGCTCAGCCTTCTCAGAACTGAAACTCCCCTGAGGTCGTCTGTGCTGTCTTTGGTTTGCACTGTCCTGTCCTGTGACATGGCACTGTCAGTTCAGTGGGTGAATGCAGTGATGGGCTCTTTCTCTGTCGTGGTGGGTCTTCTTTGCAGATGTTTGTAGCTCTGCCTGTGTTTTCAGGATTTCCTTTATTTTCCTGTGTAATTCTAAGTCACCTGTTCTTCCAGACAGATCTTAGCGTCCTTAGAGGGGACACTGGCCCAGTATTTCTCAGTCAGTCCCACGCAGGAAAGAGTGTTGTGATGGTTAAATCTGGATCTGAGACCATCTAGAAGCACTTGAAGAATAGCTTCCTAAAGTTAGCTTTAGCCTAGCACTTGGGAGACTGAGGCAGGAGGATCGTTGTGAGTTCGAGAACAGCTGGGCTAAAAAGTGAGTTCAGGCCAGCTCAAAGTGCACAGCAGTAAGTAAATAAGTAAATAAATAAATAAATGTAAGCTTTAAGTCCGAAGACTGCAGTAGAGGGATTATATTAGTGGGAGGCACTGGACTGAGAGCTGTGGAAATTGAGCCAGTTCTTCCGTATATTGGAAGAATATAAGGGTGGGCAGGAGCGTTGTCGGTGGCCAGGAGAGCCTTGAGTGGTAAACCTTTGTCCTGTAAATGCTTGTTAACCACCGGACAGAAAGCCTCCCCGATGCACAAAGAAGAGCACTCTTGTTACCCAGGCTTTTGCAGAGGTCCCCACGTGACCCCAGCCAGTTCTTCAGGCTTTATGTTTCCTGAACACTCGGGGCGCCTCAGGGTGGGAAGGCAGGAGGGGCGCTGTCTCGAGGTCACCGCTCACGCTGGCACATAGCAGGAAGGTGAGCCCATCCTTCGTAGGCTTGTGACATGGCCTTTTCTTGTTTTCCTGGGTAATGTGTTTTCTCCTGGGCCTTTTCTCCTAGAAAAGGCCAGTTCCATCCCATTAAAGACTTGAGAGCAAAAGCCAGTTCTGTGTCATTGTTTCAAAGTGGGGTATGTGATTTTTCAGCAGCCCTTTCATCGGCACTGGCTGCTTCACCCTGCCTGGTTCCGCTGTCCTTGCTCCCCTTACTGGCATGCAGGGTTTCACCATTGTCACTCGAGATGGGTTATCATTTATGAGATCTGCTTTATAGCCCTGGCTTTTTCACAGGTTAAGGCTCAGGCTGGACCCTGCCATCTGCTCTTTATCTGCCCACACCAGTAACAGCTTTTCTAACTTGTCTAGTGCTGCCGATGGCTGACTTACTAGTTCCGGTAACCCTTGATCAACACTAGCGTGCTCACACAGTCTCTTCTGTGGAAGACTGTTGGGATGGTGGATTTGACGTGAGAGATTGATCACCCGCACACACTCTCATCGCTCCACAGTTTCCTTCTTTTCAATTGTAATTACCTTTTTACCTTCCTTAGCTGCTTTTTTAGCTTTTTTGGGGCCATTTCGATAGTGGTAATTATAGTGATTAAATAAAGCACTGACTGAAATAATGTCCATAATCACACGCATGTATGTGGGCTCAGAGTGATGCTTACGTACCCTTTCGTATGCATTTCCAGCATCCTGTGTCTTTGTTTACAACTGCACAAGCGGCCAGCATTTGGGTTGTAACTCGAGATGTAGCCCATAAGTTAAAACTTAAAATTCCAGTCGTAACCAGAGTTGTTCGTATGTGTGTGGGGCTGCTTGTGACGGGAAGTCCACTGTACTTGTGCTTTACACACCGGCCCACTCTCACTTACAAGACCACTGGGACTCATCCGTGCCGTGCGGTTTGCTTTCTGGGGCTCTTTCCTCATGGTTCTATGTTTTAGTGTTGTGTGAGCCTGGACCATGTCTTGGACATCCTGGTGGCCCTCAAAACCAGGCACAGGAGCTGTCCAGTAAGGCTCCTTGAAGTGAGCTGTGGCTCCTGTGTTAGTAATCGTGGTGAGAATACCTATTCTTTGTTGTGTAAATTCTTCTTGGATCTGAGATGCTTGGACTCCTCCCAGGGCAGAGAGGGTTTCCATGGCTGAATCATCCAAACATAGAACTTACAATTTACTGAAGTATAACTAGAGTATGGGCTTTTAAAAATAGTGTTCCTCTGCTGGCTGCTCTGGGGAGATTTTCTGACAGGGCGTCAGCCTCATGGAGAAGAGGAGGCAGGAAAGGGGGGACATAATTAAACCGTGTTACCCGTCTCCTGAGAGCCGGTGAGTGTGCTGGCTGTGCCACTTCCTCTCTGGGTGTGTTGCCCTGAGTCATGAAGCCTGATTAAATTCAGTTGATAGCTGGGTGTGGAGGTGCACGCCTATAACCCAGCAGTTTGGAGGCTGAGGCAGGAGGATCACAGTGAGTTTGAGGCCAGCTTGGGCTCCAAAAGAAAGTTCAAGGCCAACCTGCGCTACATAGTGAGACCCTGCTTTTCAACAAAAAACAACAACCCACTGTAAATTTTAGCTGATGAGACCAGGCCGCCTATAACAATGACAAGAGGGACATAGTGGAAAGGGAACAGGCGCACAGACATCCGGTAAGGAGTACAGTGTCACAGATTAAAAAGCATCTTGGGTGCCTTTCAGCAAGGGGTGAATTTCTTAATTGGTTCTTTCCGGGCATTTTATGTAACTTACACTGATCAAGCTGACTTTTTGTTTATGTGGTAAAAACAAAAGTGTGAGAAGAAAATCACAGAATCTTTGTAGGATGTCTTAAAGCTTTCCAGATGCCACTAGAAGTTAGCAGTTGAGTCCAGGATTTCATAGACTGGCCTCTTTTAAACACCTTCCTTTTCAATTTTACTGTATTAAAAAGTCAATATGAGAGATATACACGGCTTTTAAAAAGTTCTTGTACTACCCCAAAGCTTAATGAAAAAGCAGTGTTTCTGTCTTCCCCCACCTCAGGCAGTCATTGTAATCTGAGCAGGTTACTGTATGAAACTTCCCTGGGCTGTCTTTTACCATCGTCTGGGAGTGGATCCGCATCTGTATCCTCACTAGTCATCCTCTCTGCTTTCTGGGTTAATCTCTCCTGCGCTTGTGCGTAGCCTTAACTAGCTTCCCAAGAGGGGGTAAGTGGGCGACAAACCCTTTTTACTGCATCATCAAAACGTCTCTTCTTTTGGGTCCGTAAATACTTCTAATGTCTATAATAGCAACAAATAATTATTTTAGATTAATAAAGAGAATTAGTAAAAACATTGTTGTTGCTAATATATGATAGCAGACGTCATGTAACTGCCAGGTTTCTCAGCATCCAAAATGTCTAATGGCCTGAATATGGCGGTGCTCATGGACCCCTCCTTTACAACTGAAGTGTTAAGCAGAGACTCGCCATGTGCTTTTTGGTCATTTACGCTGTGGAGAAAGTACTCCGCTATCCCGTACAACGCATCGGCACGTTCATCACATTTTCCTCTCTTCACACATCCTGGTAAAGTACTCTACTGATGTCAGATAATATCTCAGATAGGGCTGTAAAGCCTTCACATAATAATTTGAATCACCGTTTTCTCCTAGGCAAAAGCACCACTAATTTACCCAAAGTTTCAGTGGTTGTGTGCTATAGATTTCATATGCTTGTGGATCTGCAAGCAAGTAGACTTCTTTTTAAAAATATATTAGAGCCTATAAGGGCAGAGAAATGGGCACAAAATGTACAGCTCTCATTGGAAGTTCCAGAAGTCTCTTTGTTTGCTTGTGGCAGATATGAATGGTGTGACTTGTGTGTAACCGCTTGGCTGGAGGTGAAGTGGGCTCCCTTTACCCATGGGAGGCCTTGCTGTCCAGGGCCGCGTTCAGCCCTGGGAAGCCTCCCTTCTGGGGCCCTTGTTCGGCCGCAGCTCACTGACTGTATTTGCCTGTTTCCATCTGTCGGGAGGGGTGGACTCTTAATTGCTGGTCGCC